CCGTGTATGTAAGATTAAACTCATAGAGCACAATGTTGCATTCTGACTTTCGTATTTCTTAACATTATTCTAAAATACTACTTGTGATATTTTCCAAAGGGTTCACTGCAGAATGATTGAATTTCTTTTTCCTCCTTCTAACGGGAAAAACATGAATTAAGACTTCCATTGAAAGGAGAACAAGTTAGTTAGGACAACCTACATTAAGGAAAGAATAATTTAATAAGGAAGGCATGTGACAAACAGAGTTCCCACTAAACCCTTGGTCGTATCTCCTGAAAAACTGGGTAACAGCAAAATCAAAATCATTTCATTTATGTTATCTGATGCCACGAAAGAGCTATTTACAAGTTTCATCTAAAGACATGTCCTTTTGAGAAATTGTTTTCCTATCATTTATTCTCCTTGGAACATACAAGATTCTCGCTAAGTTACCTGGAACTAAGCAGATGTTTTCTGAAAGACTTTTCATTTATGTGGTACAAAAGAAAAAGAAAGATTCTCAATCCAAAATTGAGAAGCAAAAGAGTACTATAAATGTTGTTACTTCCTACCTGTCCTACTCTTTTCAACCAACCCCGACCATATGGATTGTCCTTAAAAGTTTAGACATACTAATCTTACTTCTATATGCAATTTTTACAATCAAACATCGTTGTGGAAAACGAAATTGTGAAAAGAAAATAAAGAAATTATCATGAGAAGACATCCAACTTCCAAAAAGTCCTCAGAGAAGTACTACTTGTGATATTTTCCGAAGGGTTCACTGCAGAATGATTGAATTTCTTTTCCCTCATACTATAGGGAAAGACATGAATTAAGACTTCCATTGAAAGGAAAGAGTTAGTTAGGACAACCTACATTAAGAAAAAAATACTTTAATAAGGAAGGAATGTGACCAACAAAGTTCCCAAAGAAAAAGAACTAAAATTAATCGAATCAGTTGAAAGCTCAACTAAACAAGCTTCAAGCTCAGTAGAGATGAGATCATCCAGCTCATACTTCACAAGTCTCTTAAAATAACTCTCTGGGTTTTCTTTTGCCATACATATTTCTGTTTGTTTTGACTTATAATTTGACTTAGTCATGAGAACAAATAGATCGCACTTATCGACTTTAATTCCAATTTGATTTTGAGTGATCATTTCGTTTTTGATTGTAACTTTTCTCGATTATTCAACGTTCTAATTTTTAGACAGTATTTTAGAAATATTGGGAAGTGGTCACTAAACAGTGGATTACATCCAACCTCCCATATACATGCTGAAAACAGGTTTGGACTTGCTAATGATAGATCAATGGCAGTGAACGTTCTTTTTGGGGCATGAAAGTATGTCACTTCTCCAGTATTAAATAAATATAGTTGGTGATTGCCTATGAATCTTTCAATGGCTCTGCCTCAGCAGTTGATGTATTAACTGCCCCACATTGGATTATGCCCATTAAAATCACTCAGTAAAAGGAATAAAGTAGGCAGCTGTTAAACTAATGCATCCAATTCATCCTCATTGACTTTGACATCTTGTGACAAGTATATAGAACAAACTGTGACAGTTACTCCAATAGAAATTCTCACTGCCACAGCTTGCAAATCAGTTGTTATTTGTACCGGCAAGGTGGAGCAAGTTAATATGAGAAGGGACTTTTTTCGAACATTCAAATCTTTCTCGTTACCCTGTGACAATTTATTTTATCCTTATTGGTATGGAAGCCTCCGAGACAATCTCAGCTAAATCGATTTCTAAGCCTTTCAAAGCAAACCATTGTAAATTGGTACTCTTTACAAAGCAGTATGCATCCGCAATGTGTCCTCCTGAACAGGGAAACTCAGAGAAGGCCAGGTGGTTGAAGTAGGTGAGAAAAAAATCAGATGGTGGAAGTTCATTAAAGGGAAAATAATCAAAGGTCAGTGGATCTTTGGGACTATCGAGAGAAAGTCTCGTAAAATAATTCTGGTACTGGTAGAAACACGCAATAGCCAAACGTTACTTGCGATCCTAAGAGTGAGTGCTTTTGGGGACAACAGTTATTAGTGATTGCTGGAAAGCGTATGACTGTCTTCAAACAGAATCTCAATCTTAGTATAAACTCAAGATTTAAAAAATCTTTACTGCAGACAGTTAACATCATGTGCTTTTTAAAATATCGTAATACAATAGAAATCCATCAATCGGAATATTTATGCCGACTACCAAAAAGTGGATACTGTGAAGGTCCGAAACCCTTTTTCTGTTTTAGAACAGTAAATCTAGGAATTTTCCTAGTAAAAGAGAAAAGGGGGCTTCTGCGGTCAATGACCGAGACGCTCTCCCCGAGTAAGAAAAAAAAGAGAATGTTAAAATATCAATAAACGAAATCTCCTTTATTTGTTAAAAGGTAATTCTAGAGACGTTAGTATCAACAAGAAAAAAAGAAGAGATGTTTCTTATCACCCCTTTGATTGCACATAACACGTGGTTACGACAATAAATCGCCTTGTTCAGAGTCAAACACGAAGTTTGATATAAACAATATCTAAATAGTTGACCAGGTTAAAGAAATTATTGTCAAATGATTGTTAATTTATGGATGAGAGCCATCAAACTTATAGAAATTTATATCATAAAATCATATCATCTTGACACCAATAACAATAAATTAAACAAACTTCTCTGAGTCATTTGTCCGAACTAGCTAGATCCAAATATCAACACACTAGCAGGTGTGCGGATAAATCATGAATAACGTCATAGTTCTCACCCCCTCAAATTTAGTATAAAGAGGGCTCCTGGCCAGTATCGGTGTGGCCTCCAACTTAGAAGGAAATAACGGATTGACAATCCTCATAGCTGACCGCCAAAGACAGACGACACAGTTAGATTCTACAAGCTACAACTTAGTAAGTAGAACTCTCTCTTTCCTCTCAGGTGGATTAGGGCTAATTCCGCGAAAAGAATATTAAAGAGGATCAGAGACTATCCTCAGTCGAAATACCCAAGATATAATCCGACTAACCTACTATTGTAATATCGGTTTGATTTTGACATTATTATTATTCTTAGTATTTGTAACCCTTTTATATGGTATATACTAATTAAATTTATATTATATCTTAATCATGCGTGTTTACTCGTACTCTGTCAACACCTTATCGACTTATCCGCAACCTCCCACTCGATTTTCGCCCTCCTAAATTGCCATCCACTGACCCTGTGAGCGGGACTCACCTTCCCGTTGTCGGAAAACGGTTTGAGCTTTGATGCTAAAACCCCGATTCTCACAATACTATTACACTATGGACACTAGAATTAGGAGATCCAGAAATTAGCAAGACATTTGTAGGCTTTTATCCAATCTGATTTATCACCTTAATAAAATTAGTTACTCATCTTTTACAAATTCACAACAATGACTATTCATAACACATTTACTTCTAAAATGCAAAATTTGCATAAAAACAACAAACAAAAAAATATGATTCAATTATTTCAAAAGATAAATCACCTAACCTAACCTAACCTAACCCTTGGAAGGGACCCTCGGCTAATCTCACATACATAAAATAATTCATAATCCAAATATATAAAATTGCAGAATGTGATTCTAATAGATTTTGAAGCATTTCAAGTAGAAGATCATAAAATTATTTATCAACAGTTGGCCATAAAAACATTACACAGTCCTTTAGAAGTTGTAATAGACATTTATATAGATTCTGTTAAAAAGTATCAAGTATATTTTACTAGCAAAAAAATTCATGGATTAAATTTTACAGACGAAAAACCATTGGATTAAACTGACTAGATCAAACATAGTTACAAAATTTATTAAATTATTTCACAACGTATAACAAATTATTTATATTTAAAAGTGAATGGATAGAAAAAAAAATCTTTTTAAAAACTAGAACTACAATTATTTAGACATTCAACTTCTTTTGGTGTCTAAGATTGAATATTATTAAAAAGTTTGTTATTACCACAAATACTTTAAAAAACATTGTTCTCCTTACGATATTTAATAAATAAGTAACAAATATAATTTAAATTATTATTATATTGAACAATTTCGTATTTTATTTTGTCTTCTTGTTATATTATTATTTTAATTTGGCTTGTTTATGTTCCTTCTTCATATCAAGAGCAACGCAATTGCAAAGTATGTGTTTAACACTTACAGTACAATTGCAATACTGACATACCAATTGATCATCACCCTTCAAAAGGTATTGATGAGTTAGTCGAGTGTGTCCAATTCTCAACTGAGTAAGGACTACCTCAAATCTCCTAACATACTGCCTATTATGTGTCCAATCTGCTATCATCAGTTTGATCTCATGTAGTTTATTGTAGATTTGTGCATTCCACATAACTTGCCATCTCTCTGCTAGTCGCCTTTTAACGACTAGTTTCAAATCCCCTCCTTCAGTATGCATTGTATGCTGTGAAGGACTAGCTGACTTTGCAGCTGCGTCAGCATCTTCATTTCCTTTTATACCTACATGGCCTGGGACCCAACAGAATTTTACAAAGAAATCATTCGCAGTAAGATAGCAAAACAATTTACGAATTTTAATCACTATAGAGTGAGAACTAGGTTCACATGAGATCAAAGCCTGAAGTGCACTAACTGAGTCAGTGTAAATCACACAGCAACGATGACCTTTCCGATTTATATACTTTAAGGCTAAATAAATAGCCTGCAACTCCGCAGAAAAGATGGAAGAATTTGGTGCTATTTGTTCTGCCACAATTTTATCCTGGCAAACAAAGGCTAAGACAACATAGTTATCCGATTTAGATCCATCGGTGTATATAGAAATTAAATTCCTGTTACGATGCTGAACTTCTGCAAAGTGCTGTCTATAGACGTAGTCTGGTGTGGTTTCTTTAGGGAACTGCTTTAAGCTTAAATCTACATCGATCAGTGAAGTTGACCAAGGTGGAATACTATTAATCTCAACATGTGAAATGTTGGCTTACGTCTAGGTCAATCGTGCTGCTTACATTCTCCATACTTATGTCGAATGTAGGGACACAACTCGTCCGAGCGGCAAATAATCTTTTCAGCTGAGTACCTGGACAATCAGCTGTAAGTTTTTTCTGAGATTTTTGTTTAATGTAATAAAAAAGAGACAACTGTTCTCTCCTGAGAGATAGTGGAGGCTCATAAGCATCTACATACAAACTTTGAACAGGGAAAGTTCAAAATGCACCGGTGCACAAATGCAAAGCTTGATAGTGGATTGGATCCAGCATCCAGACACGCTGTACTTAAGTTGTAAAGTGTTGATCAAGAAATGGAGAATATAATCGGACCTTTACCACTTACTACAAATAAACACAAATATATTTTAGTTTTTGTTGATCATTTTAGTCGTTATGCGGAAGCAATTCCTTTACCAAATGTTAGTAGTAAAACGATAGCAAAAGCTTTCGTCACTAACATAATAATATGTTATTCTACGCCAACAAAATTATTAACAAACAGAAGAACTAATTTGGTTTAAAAAATGTTTACAGAAGTATGTGAAATGTTGCAGATTAAAAGGTTGTTAACAACGGCATATCATCCAGCTTGTAACGGAATAGTTGAAAGGTTTAATAAGATGATCGTGGATATTTTATCTCACTACGTATCAGCAGATCGAAGAGATTGGGATGAGTGGATCCCTATGCACTATTCGCCTATAAAACGGCTGTACACGCTTCTACAAATGAGAGCCCATTCTATTTATTATACTAAAGAGATCCTACCTATCCTTACCATTTAATTGAAAGTCTCACAACCATCTCTTATGATATAGAATAAAATTATGCATCGGAATTAAAGCAGAGAATGAAACTCGCACATCAGACAGAAAAAATGTATGAGGAAGAAGCTGCAAAAATAAAACAAGAAAGGCAAAGAAAACAAAACAAGCCACCTCATTATCAGATGGGATATAGAGTTTATTTAATAGTAGTAGTAGTTCCACAAGGAATAAAGAGAAAACTTGTTCCCGGTGGTCAGGCCCATATAGAATTATTGAAGTTTTAAGTCCAGTTAATTAAGAAATAGAGAATATAAAAATGAAAAAGAATATAAAAGTACATGCCGACAGAATTAAACCTGCAACTGCTCCTATGGAATTTAAAGTTAAACCTCAGCGAATGATAGATCAAGCAGACGAAGAAATAAAAAAAGAAAAACAGGAAGAACCTAAATATATTCCCGATCCCTGGGACAAATTTATATTAACCTTAGTCAGCTATGATCCCTTCGGCTGAAGTACGTTCAGAAGAATCTGAAAGCGACAAAGAATCCGAGACAGAGTAAAAGTGCCCGATCAGACGAAGAACCGGAAGAAGTCACTCCATATGCACTTAGAAGTCAAGGTCCCATCCCAGAGCAACTTTGGGTAATGCCTAGACCTACTCATAGTCGCATCCCTAGATATATTTCTCCCACCGCTAGTAGATCATCATCTCCATGGATGGATTACAACTGTCCTCTTTTGGATCTTTTGGAGTATTAATTTGTTAAGTTAACTAAGTGATAATTTGGCCTTAAGATACACATATTAGTATTATATATGTATATGTGTATATATCTAGTTGTTTAATTTTCCTTGACTCCCCCATATTACCGTTGGTTACTGTATAAAACACGGCAAATATATGTATGTAGATGTTATTTTTGGTCGTTGATAATTTCTAGTGTTTATTTTTGAAATCCATAGAGAATTGTTACTCCTTTGATTGGTTAGGATTGGGAAACGTACAAAATAATCCCTCACACTTATTTTGAAAGTAAAATTGGGAAATTTCTTTAAGATTTAGAACAGAAACTACTAAAGAAGTAACAGAGATAAATAAAGAACAGGTCCTTTTTACTCTGTGTTCATCTGTATTTTGTGATCACACTTCCCATTGAAAATATTGAGGCTTTTCAACAGTTGAGTCTCAGGGTAAATTTAACTATTTTACTTCTCTCTTAAAACACGAATGGATGGAAGATTATATATATATATATATATACGTTGAGGAAATGGTGGTCTTCCCTTCCAATATTACAATCTAATGAAGTGACAACAATTATTGAAAAATTTTATTTTATTATATCCCGTTCTACAAACTTTTATTACAAGATAGTTGTGTTGTATCCCTTGGTTTTGACCCAACTACAGTAACATTTGGGTTTCCAACTATCCTCAAGATATTGTTGTGTTATGGAAATTTGTCTGTTGGATGTATCCCCAGGTACCTTATTATCACATCTACTTATGACCTGAACTGAACTAGAGATATGACCTTAAAAGTTTTCTTTTTCACCAGAACTTTATACGATCACCAGTGAAGTTATGATTTTGACCAGACCTGCGAAGAGATACAGTGTAGATAACCTCACATTTCTTCTTGGCCGTTTCCTTTCTGAGGAACAGAACTGGGAGCCTTCGACGTTCTCCTAACTGAGGGCATTGTCTGGGCGTTTCTTCCTTGTTATCCGAATCAATCTCTCAAGTGAGCCAAACAAGAATCAGTTTTTCTATGATTAATCTCTGATAAAGAAAGATTGTCTCAATAGACAACTAAACCTGACCGAACCACCAAATGTCCTCTATGTAGATATTTGGGTGTATCACCAGTAATAAAGCAAACTTGACCAGAACTGGAAAAGGGAACGGTACAAATAACTATTTTTTTTCTTATCAGTTGTCTTATCATTTTCCTTTCGAGGAGCTGTGGATGATGGACATGCTTTATACTTTCCACACGGAGTGTTTTAGTAACCTACCCTGTTTTTGGTGTGTCTCCTTTAGAAACTGTTTAAAAAGAAAAAAAAAAGGGTTGGAGGAATAGTATTTTTAGTATGGACTTCTGATTTGGACTGTTCTTATCAAACTATTCCTTCTCCTCCAATTTAGAAGAGGGAAATATTGGAAATGGAAATACACGATGCTGCAAATTTTACTATTTTTGTTTTCGAAATTTTTTAATCTCTTTGATCATCCTCACTGATTGAAGATTGGGCCCTTTGTCAGTTGAGTTGTCAATCAAGTCATAACCTCATGTTCTACCTCTACCTCCTCTGCTAATGACCTATTCAAACCTATTCTAATTCAAATGACAATCAACAAGTAAGGAATTATCTTGAGATAAGGAAGTATATTTTATTATTTTTTCCCAACTTGAACTATGCCTATGAGAATTTTCCTTCGTATCATTTACTCCCTTTACTTGGTTTGGACCCTCCCATAGTGGAGAAAGGAACTGACGGAAATAATGTGGACCATCAAAACAGACTTCGCTCGCTTCCTCGCTCTCCGTGTTTGAACCCGACCTCTCTTATCATCTACCAGGATAGGTGGTTAATTTTAATTCGAATTATACATTTTTCTGTGTGGCAATACCTCTTTTTAATGGACTACCTGGAGTCTTAAGATTTGTCCCCTCCTTTCTGCTTCTTTGCAAGTATGCAGAGATTATTTTGTCATAGAGCTATACATATATATTTAATTTTGTAAGTACAAAGGAATTGTTCATTTTGCAACCTTTTATGCAGTCAGTAAGAGATGAAGTAGTAAATCAGAAATTATCACGAAAGAGCATGTTTCCTTTGTCGGGGGACACAAAGTGAAACTCTTGCCCTTATCATCCATGGAAAGACATGACAGGTGTGACTCCCTGAGGATACATTTTATGTTGACATAGAATTCTGTGAAAATCTGACTCTCATATGAAAGTTTTATTTAATATGAAACAAAGTTGTATACTTCTTCCATCATTATTTCCGTTATTTCTCCCATTCTCACCCCGTTGCCCAAGGAATAGCCCCCAGACGATGAACTGCGTAGTTTCTAGCGACAACCTTCTTGACAGACAAAGTCGTCCGAGGCAACCGCAAAAGAACTCCCCTCTCCCCAGGAGACTACTCTATTACGAAGAGTCTGCAGTATGACCAATTAACAAAAACAAACATGTGTTCCTGTGTTGAGGGTGGACAAGAGAACACCTACAAGGGTGAACTTTGCGGAGAGAATCATAACCAAAAATAGTCAGTCATCTCCCCAGGTGATGACGAATTTAACATTAATTAGTCAAGCAATGTCTGCATTGTCGTCACCCATGACAGGGGAGACTGACATAAATTGGGAGAAGTGACAGTTTGCGTTAGAAGAGTCCCCGAGATTTCCCACGCTAAAAAAGTATAAAACAGGAATGATCAGAGATCTCGAGGCGATCATCGGAAAAAGAAGACTACAAGCGTCTACTCTGGAAGGACTTCAAAGTTTTTGATCGCCGACCTAAAGAGGTAAATACTTAGATTGTTTTTACTTCACTCTCTCTCGGTATACTCGGGACTTAGAAATTATTGTCGCTCAATATACTCGGGACTTTGAATTTATTTATCTGTTCCTTTGGGTAAGACTTAGAATTATTTTGTGTCGAGGACCTTTGGTGGTCCCACTTACGGGATAGACGGACATCAGTTGTCCGATATTGTCGCGACTCGAAATTTATTATAATTATTGCTTACATTTTGTTTAGAATTAATGGGTAATTTTACTGTATTTGTATTATTTTTATGTTTATATTAAATATGTTATTCCTAATTTAATTACTCTTGTTAACTACTACCAACATCTCATCACGACTTCATTACGCCTCCCACTCCTTTAGCCCTCCTATAGCCATTTCCTGACAGCCAAGCCATTAACTGGGGAGAAGCTCTCCGCTTCAGCCCCCTCGGTTAGCACAAAGCTAAAAAATTGCATAAAGTGCATTAACAGAATTATCCGAATTATCGTTACTGTGCAGCAAAGTCCAATTCGAACAGTAGTTAGCCTACCCTGCCTGCAGAAGCTCCTTGTTCCACATTCCAGAGGGCGAACATCAGCCTGCAATATAATGGAGCCATGTTCATTCCACAAGTGCATCAGGCAGAGGATAAAGGCTCGTATGAATTTCTGAATACATTTCACATCCCAGATAACTGGTAACCTGTAATAGACAGCATGGATATTTTCAAATTCATAATTAACTTGTACACCTATTATAACTACACTTTACCAACAATTCATTTGACCGAAAACGTTAGATTATGTTAATTTTTATTAGTTGTAAAAGTGGAGGTTGTTAAGCTCAACTACCAGGATCCCCCTATTTGGCATATGGGATACAATGCACAGCAAACACGTGGATGGGTGTTCAGATTCCAGGAATGGTAAACAGAAGTTTCTAAACCATCTCTGAAAGGTTCCCTCACCACGGACAATAACCCACTTCGAAGGGCGTAGAGTTATTTGTGATCGCTAGAGAGATAACTCTCATGAATTACAGATTAAATAACCCTGAAGTCGTCAATCAAATCACAGAAGCGTTAAGCTGATATATCGAAAATAAATTAATGATATGGGTTGAAGACAACAATAATTGGCAAGGTCTGGTGGCTTTTCTGGAAAACACACAGTGAATTCAAAATCATTTTAAATCATTTGTAAAATATTTCATATTTAACGTGATAATATAAAATATTATTTGTATCTTTTTGTACATTTTTTGTGATTTATGTATTTTTTAATAAAAAGTTATAATTTCAGTTCTGTTGTTTATAAATTATTATAGTTGTAGTGAAACAAGAGATACTTTTTACCGATAAACTATCACAAATCTTTAAATTCAGTAAAACCAACACGGAACATTTTAAATAACCAGAAGGCACCGAAATTTTCATGTGTAGTTTAGAAATGAAGTGAAAAATTTTGCTTAAAAGTTTTAATTGTGAGATCTGAATAGCCCATGGGTCTAAATAATTTAAAATTTAAGTTAAATTTTTGTAGAAAAATATTCTTTTGTTTTAATAAGAAATTCACGGTTTTCTAACGTGGAAAAACTGATAAAAGAGCCACTTCCTTTGACGAAAGTAGAAGCATCCTTTGTTGAAGTGACAAACTCAACTGCATCGATATCTGCAGTATTGACCATTTCCACAGTGATGTCAGCCAAAAAGGAGAATGCAGGCCAATATGCCGTTTCAAGTTTCCAGTGTAGTAAACAGGCTGTTTCACAGTTTTCTCTGCCATGATATTTTAGTATAAATATTGGTAAATGGTCACTAGAAAGTGGATTAGATCCAACCTCCCACGTAAATGCTGACAACAGGTTTAGACTGACTAAGGATAAATCAATGAAAGTGAATGCTCTTGTTGGAGCATGGAAGTATGTCACTTCTCCAGTATTAAATAAATATAGTTGTTAATTATTTATAAACCTTTAAATAGCTCTGACTCGACGGGTGATGTCGAGACTGCCCCACATTGGATTGTGACAATTGAAATCACCAAGTAAAAGAAATGGAGTCAGGAGCTGTTCAACCAATGCATCCAATTCATCCTCATTGACTTTGACATCTGGTGGCAAGTATATAAAACAAACCGTGACAGTTAATCCAATAGAAATTCTGACTGCCACAGCTTGCAAATCAGTTGTTATTTGTACCGGCAAGGATGGGATGCAATTTGTTTGTTTCGTTTTTGTTTTTTGGCACAAGAGCCATATAGGCTATGCTGCGCCAAAGCGAATGGTTAAAAATAATTTTAAACATGATACATAGCATATGATAATAATAAATAAATAACAACAGCAATAATAATAAATACACACATAATAAGTACAAAAACACAACAATAGCCACACCTCCACTGGCACAATTGTGGCTATCATCATCCTTGCGGTAGAGATCGAATCCTTTTGAAGTAATTCTTTCTCCAGGTTTCAAATGAGTCTCCTAAAGTGCCATGCACAGAGAAATGGTAGGTAATGTCAAGTGTTTAAGGTCAGAGAAGTTGTTGCAGAAACCACAACAGTTCCATTGGATTATTTTATAATCCATTATCTGTTTGAGGCAGCATTCTTTGCAAGGCTATCCCTCTTAAATTAAACAGGGGGTTTCTCTTTTAAAGAAAACATTGGTTTTGTAACCTCCTTGTTAGTCTCCTCATCAGAAAAGTCACAGAACACAATCATAGACTGAGCCTCTAAGTTCCTACGTTTAAAAAACGCTGCTTTCAATTTTTGTTTTTAGTGTGTTCTTATTCTCCTTTTTTAAAACCCACATTTCTTGTTATTACCCATGTTTTAAGTAGGGGTGTTTTGTTCTTCTTGCTCTCCTTTTCTGCTGTTTGAGTGGATGGTATCAGCAAACATTTTGCATCACAAGCAAAAGATTCTTTTAGAGAAACAAAAATATCTGTCTGAACTCTGCATGTCTCTGTGGATTTTAAAATTGCAGCAATGTCTTCGGCTTAAGTGATGCACTTGATGTGACCATGCACTAAGCCTCTGAGTAAGCTTAATTGTTGATAGTTTTCACCCGCTGAATCTCTGTTTCTCTCTGCCATGCAGGGCATTATCGGGAGTAGGAAAAATGAGCATCTTTACAGTTTACACAGCATAAAGTACTGGTACACTCAGTACTCTGGTGGCCTTACATTCCACACTGTGCACATAAGCTTTTGCCTCATTCCTAAACATAAGCATGTTTAGGAATGTCCAAACCGCTGATATTTGAAGCAGAGCGGCAAATTTAAAATATATGAACGAACCGAAAAGCGCAAATATCCTGTTGTAAGAGAACATGGTAATGTCAGTTGATTAAATGTCATGATTAAATGTTTTGTAGAAATTAACTTGCCGTCTCGATGAATGGAGATGCGTCGAACAGCAGTTACACCTTGATCAGCAACACCAATCTGAATATCTGATTCATCCTCAGACATCAGATCGATCTCTGATATCACACCACGTGATGAGTTTAGACTTCCATGTGGGGTGACAGTTACCTCTATATCTCCAAGTGTCTTAATTGCCAAAAGTTTTGCAGATTGTTGAGGTGAGGTTGTTTCTAGAAGCAGATCTCCTGACCTCAATTTTTGTATTTTTTTCAAATTTCCAACTGTAGATTCAAACAGTTTCTGGATCAGAAAAGGAGAACATTTTGATAGAGGTGTTTGTCCAGTAGCATGGACTATGAAGTAGGTTGGCTGACTGGAAATGATTTGTTTCTTTGTAGCATTGTCTGTAGTTTTGGTTTTTTGATGATCCATGATTATGTAATATTAATTCAGCTCCCAGTGACCCCACCCTCCATGGGGCCCAACAAGGGGATGCCGTCACATGGGAGACTCCCATAGACCGTCACACCAGGGTTTCCCAGGAGCTATACCCTCACAATGCAGTCAAGAAGAGCACATCTAGTCTGACGTGTCCGCCCGGTCTGCATCGATCGGTTGACTCCAAGCCGAGGTCAAGAATGACTCAACGATCAGCCGATTGACTCAAACGGAGCCTGATTTGAGCCTCCCGTTTATCCGAAGCAGGGGCCAAAGCAGTGTGTTGGGGACGTTATGTTGCCCCTCAACTACCAGGATCCCCTTTTTGGCATACGGGATACCACGCACGGCAAACATGTGGGTGGGCGTTCAGATCCCAGGGATGGCAAATAAGGTTTTCTAAGCCATCTCTGGGAGGTCCCCTCACCACGGACAGGAACCCACATCGAGGGGTTATCTTTTGGGGGTGACATTGGTTTTTTCATCTCCATGTTAGGCTCTTCATCAGAGATATCCGAGAACTCACTCATGGACTGAGTCTCTGATCTTTTAGCTTTAGAGAGAGCTGCTTTTAATTTTTGTTTGTTAAGTGGGTTCTTATTTGCTTTCTTAGAACCCACATTTCTGGTTACTACCCTGTTTTAGGTACGGGTGTCTTTGTCTTGATACTCTCCTTTTCTTCGGTTTGTTTTGATTGAGTCAGCAAACATTTTGCGTGTCAAGTGAGAGATTCTTTTGGGGAGACAGAAATATCTGTTTGAACCCCACATGTCTTAGTAGACTTCAACGCAGCAGCAAAGGTCTTTTGTTTCGTTGTTGCACTTGGAATGGCCATGCAACGGGCCTCTGTGTATGATACGTTGTTTACGGTTTTTATCCGTTGCACCTCTTTTTCTCTCTGCCACGCAGGGCATTTCTGGGAGTAGGAAGTATGGGCATCTTTACAGTTCACACAGCATGGGATACTTTTACATTCAGTACTGTCGTGGTCTTCAGTCCCACACTGTGCACATACGCTTTTGCCTCGGCAAGATGTTTGTGAATGTCCAAACCGCTGGCATTTGAAGCAGCGCAGCGGATTTGGAACGTAGGGGCGAACTGGACAGCGCAGATATCCTGCAGTAATGAAAGATGGCAATGTCGATTTGTTACACGTTAAATTTAAGTGTTTGGTAGCAATTAACTTCCCATCTCTACGAATGGAGATGCGTCGGACAGCAGTGACACCTTGATCTGAAAGACCGATCTGAATATCTGATTCATCTTCAGACATTAGGTCGATCTCAGATATCACACCACGTGATGAGTTTAGACTTTTGTGTGATGTGATTGAGACTCCCATTTCTCCAAGTGTTTTCATTGACAAAAGCTTTGTTGTTTGTTGAGGAGAGGCTGTTTCCACCAGGAGGTCACCTGACCTCAATTTCTGTATTTTCTTTAAGTGCCCAATAGTTGATTCAAACAATTTTTGGATCAAAAATGGGAACACTTATATAACGGTTTTTCTCCAGTTGCGTGGACTACTAAGTACACTGGCTGACTAGAGGTCTTTTCATTTGTCATTGTTAGCTTGTTTGGAATTTTTGTATTTTGAAAATCCATATTTAAAAATAAATATTCAGCTCCCAGTGACCCCACCCACCATGGGGCCCAACAAGTAGATGCTGTCACATGGGAGCCTCCCATAGACCGTCACACCAGGGTTTCCCAGGAGCTATACCCTCACAATGCAGTCAAGAAGAGCACATCTTGTCTGACATGTCCGCCCGATCTGCATCGATCGGTTGACTCCAAGCCGAGGTCAAAAGTGACTCAACGACCAGCCGATTGACTCAAACGGAGCCTGATTTGAGCCTCCCGTTTATCCAAAGCAGGAGCCAAAGCAGTGTGTTGGGAACGTTATGTTGCCCCTCAACTACCAGGATCCCCCTTTCCGGCATACGGGACACCACGCACGGCAAACACGTGGGTGGGCGTTCAGATCCCAGGGATGGTAGAAAAGAGTTTCTAAACCATCTCTGGGAAGTCCCCTCACCACAAACAGGAACCCACATCGAGGGAAGAAGGAGAAGCCCATCGCTTCAAAGTTTGGTCTGGAATATACTGTCGTATGTCAATTACTAAACATGGGCGATTACAACAACAAGGCCTACCATGTATTCATGGTAGTGTTTTGTTCGTTCCAAGTTCGTTAGTTCGATACATCAGTTCAGTTAGTTTTGATTGCAATTGCATCCATCTTCTTATTTTGATAAAAGGTAAAGCATATATATTTTCTTCTTTAGTCAACATATGTGTTTCTTTTTTTGCTAGTTTTTTCTTTATACTGTATTGTATATTAAAATATTAAATATATATATTAATTAATACATGCAAGATTCGAAATTGAATCTCTGCATTAGATTTTTCATTTGTGATAGTATATAAATACTGTTATAGAAATTTGTACGCAATTTTAGTTTTGCAGTGTGAATAATTTTGTTTTTATAAAACATATTACAAGTATTATTTATAAATTCATACGAAAAGGATATAGTATATAATATTTAAAAAAATGTTTAACTCCATTTGATATTTTGAAAAAGTAACTCAAAAAATACATTTCATATTATTTTCATTTCGATCAGAAATATTTTTGTATGAAAATTCAATACAAAAATTTTAATTCTGTTAAAAAAATTTTTAACATTTTTTCCACAATAAAATTTGTGAAATATATTATTTTCATTGTCAACAATTATCATTCTATAAGATATAAGGTCATGGATTTGAGTGGCTAAGCTAAGACTGATTTTTACTTAAATGTGGCAATTGTAGATTCCTAGTTAATTTTTTTTTAATTCTACTGCATTATCTCATTTCACATAAATTTATACATTTCAGATTTAATCAAAAGTCTTGCATATATATACAACTTATATTAATTATTTCATTACTTTACATATTTATCTTGATTACTTTTAACTATGTGCTTAAATTTTTTGAATAATTTATATTATTGTTTTAGCACACTTTTGCACATAGTGATTAATCAAGTTATACATGTATATCTTATTTTAAAACATAATTTAGGATAAGTGAAATTTTGTAAATAATTCGAATAATTTAAAAAAATAAAGCCATTCTTAATGAATATGCATGACATTTCACTATAATTTTCAAATATACATCCAATTGATAATTTATTCAACAATAAATAATAATAACAACTCTCCCATGGTCACCACCTGGTCATGATAGGAGAGCCAAGTAATTTTACTGAATCATAAGGAAATGCAGGCTGGAGCACAAGCTCCTGGTAGAAACACCCATGCAAGTAAGGTCTATGGGGAGAAATGAAGCTAAGAGTGACCACACACCCACATTATGTGTAGATAATTATCATGGTAGTAACCAGATCTAACTATGATACCGGCTCGGACGTCGCCCAAGTGAACAAGGTCCGCGTTCGTGAGTTAGACAGAGGCTCATGTTCGAAAAACAGGCTCCAGTCTCCTTTGAGTACCAGTGGCAAAAGCAGCGCCGGCCCAAGCATGGCTACTGCAATGCCCTCAACAGATGTGAGAAATCAACCTAGCCTTGGTGTTTCTGTGGCAATGCATCCACAGACCACAAAAACTGGAAAACCATGCCAACAAATGAAATGGACATCAGTAATAAACGAGTTTATCATCTGCACTTACTATGTAATCACAAAACTCGAAACAAACATGACAGCATACAGACAGCTACTACACCATAGATTCACACAACAATATCCTCACCTCACTGTCACAGAACAACCTAATTCCACAAACGACACTTGAACTTATCAAACAACAGGTTGCTGATCAAATACATCAACAGACAGAAACATTTAACATTATTAATAAAGATCACTTAACCTGTCAGGATAATCCAGCAACAAGCATTAATAATTGCACACATACAACAACTACAACTAATGATACTACAGGCACTTCCTCATTGATCACTGATAACATAGACATAAAATTAGTTAATACTCACTAAATATACCGGCACAGATCCCACACAAAGACCACGAATACCGAAAATCAACATGTCAAAGGTAGTAGAGAAAACACTAAATTATGTAAACACTCACCTACTACCAAACTACATTCATTCAATTTCTACACTCTCAGACATTCATACATTAGTTTATGCCGGAGCAGTCACAGTAGTAACACACCATGGACTAAAAATACAATCACAGACAGACACACACAAAACACAATCCTATCACAAGCCTGCCTGGCAGGGAAGAATAGAAACACAAATAAATGACATTAGACAGCAATTAGGCAGGCTGACACAATACACTAAGAACAACATAACACCCAAATTAAAGAAACAACTCAAAAACATTTTCAAAAAAACCAAAACACACACAAAACATGAACATCACAACACATACATTACAGAATACATCGATACACTGAAACAGAAACTCGCAGCCAAAGCACGTAGACTCAAACGATACAAAACATGTACACTACAAAAACAACAAAATAAATTATTCGCAACAAACGAAAAACTTTTCTACAGACAAATCAGTACCAAAACAAACACTGATACACAGCATAGTCGCACACCAACAGAAAAACAACTCACAACTTATTGGTCTTCTCTTTGGTCCAATGCTGTTACACACAATGCTGATGCAGGCTGGATTGAGGAGGAGAACAGAAACTTGCACAACATACCAACTATGCCCTGTGCTGAAATAAACGTACACGACATTTGCTACGCTGTTAACAGAACACACAACTGGAAGACACCTGGTGTAGACAACATTCACAATTTCTGGTACAAAAAGTTTACATCACTGCACCAGGAACTAGCTAAACATCTAACACACATCATCATCAATCCACAAGACATGCCAAAATTTCTTACTCAGGGCATCACCTACATGAAACCTAAAAACAACAAAACCACAGACCCCACACAATACAGACCAATTACATGTCTTCCAACACTCTACAAATTATTGACATCCTGTATCACAAACAAAATATACAAACATGTTGAAGAACACGACATTCTTACAGAACAACAAAAAGGTTGCCGTAGAAATCACAGGGGATGCAAAGAACAGTTACTCATAGATTCAGTCATTCTACGGCAAGCACACAAACAACACAGAAACATACACATGGCATATATAGACTACAGAAAAGCATTCGACAGTGTTCCACACAGTTGGCTGCTACATATTCTACACATGTACAAAATACATCCATCACTCATTGCATTCTTCGAAAACACTATGCAGCACTGGAGAACAACACTACATCTCAGGGTTAGTAACACTTCCATACAAACAAACGAAATATTCATTAGGCGAGGAATTTTTCAAGGAGATTCCTTGAGTCCTCTCTGGTTCTGCCTAGCCCTGAATCCATTATCCAACATGTTAAACAACACGCAATATGGCTACAATATCAGACACGAAAAAACAACACAGTTTACACTCTCACATCTCATGTACATGGACGACATAAAACTTTATGCATCCACACAAAAACAACTTCATCAACTCCTACAAATCACACATTCATACACTAAGGACATACAAATGGAGTTTGGCCTAGACAAATGCAAAAAACTTCACATAGAAAAAGGAATCCTGAAGAAAGAAGATTTTGCACTTGGAAATGGAGACGACATTGAATCCATGGAAGAGGGCGAGTTCTACAAGTATTTAGGATTCCAACAGGCCAGACTAACAGAACATACACAAATAAAGCAAAGATTAATTAAAGAATACCAAACTAGGTTAAACGCTATCCTCAGAACACAGTTAAATGCAAAATACACAGTTAAAGCAATAAACACATATGTCATCCAAGTACTAACATACTCTTATGAAGTTATACATTGCACTCACACAGATCTCTAGCAACTACAAAGAAAAACAAGAACAACACTTACTAAGCATAATCACCATCATCCTAAATCCGCCGTAGAAAGATTAACCCTTCCATATAAAAATGGCTGACGTGGCCTGATTGACATAGTTAACCTTCACGACAAACAAATACAGTCACTGCTAGAGTTTTTCTATAGGAAACAAGAAACATCACAATTACGTAAAGCAGTAACTCTAGCAGACTCAAATAGCACACTCACAATGTACAACACTCACAATGTACAAAACACATGCACTGAAAAAATTAGAAAGTACACAGAACTCGCCCAGAAAATAAGGCATCTGTGGAGGATGGATAGGGTGCTTATTGCACTTGTCGTTCTCTCCTGTACAGGCGTGATACCCCACACACTACACAGAAGCCTGGGAACATTACAATTGAATATAAATACATACATAACACTACAGAAGGCCAGTATATTGAATACATGCCATATTGTTAGGAAATTCCTGAATACAGACACTGACACACACATTTTATCTTAGTTCTGTTTTGGTTGCTATGCCTTGACTCTGGTCTGGCATAGCACACAGCCACCAATGTAAACCGAGTATAACCTACTAAACACGACACAATAATAATAATATCTTTATTGTATTAATTAATTAAGGAGACCTTGTTACAGGAAAGTAGAAAAGAACAGTATTAATAAACTTATTTATATTATTAATTAATACAATCACATATATTTCATGTAGAAAATCTGTAGTGGTAGTAATAAGCAAAGGAAATATAAAAAAAACAGAAATATATAAATTTGAGAAAACTTGTCGTAATAATTAGTTAGATGTGCTTTCAATATTACAATTGGATAATTCTTTGATACTATAAATGAAATATTTATTTATTTTATACATATAATTAATTGTTAACATATCAAATTTGGATCTAAGATTAGATTCTTGATTTTTATGAATTAAGTCGTTAATTTGATATTTTCGGCAAAATACTCTAGCGCAGGACATTTACTGACGATATGGAATAATGAAAAGTTATTTAATTTGCACCAGTAACAGTCCTTTGTAAAGTCATTATAGGTATTGTTGACCATTATAGAACATTTACTGAGATAAATTTGATGGTTGGTTAGTTGATTCGTTAGAGTTTATTGGCGCAAAAGCCACACAGGCCAAGCTGCGCCATGACAAATAATATAAATAACTAAATAAATAAATAAATATATATATATAATGTATAATGTTTAATATAAATAAATAAATAAACTAATAAATAACAAAATGAATAACAAAACAATATATAACAATATACATAATAATAACAAAATATATACTTAAATAAAGAAATAAATAAATAAGTAAATAATTAAATATGTTTATAAATATTATTCACTTTCAAAAAGTTCAATAATTCGTCAAGATTTGGCCTCTGGCCCAAAATCTCTCTCAAACTTGCATTTCCAAAATGCTGTCTATGACTTTGATGAAAAGCTGTGCAGTTGCAAAGCATGTGTTTTACACTTAGAAAGCAGTTGCAATGCTCGCACACTGGCTGGTCTTCACCCTTCAAAAGGTATTGATGAGTCAACCGAGTATGCCCAATTCTCAAACGAGTAAGAATTACTTCAGATCTCCTGTCATACTGTTTATTATGTGTCCAATTTTCTATATTTGGCTTGATCTCATGTAGTTTATTGTGGACTTGTGCATTCCACACGTTTTGCCATCTCTCNTGCAAAACACTTCACATAGAAAAAGGAATCCTGAAGAAAGAAGATTTTGCACTTGGAAATGGAGACGACATTGAATCCATGGAAGAGAACGAGTTCTACAAGTATTTAGGATTCCAACAGGCCAGACTAACAGAACATACACAAATAAAGCAAAGATTAATTAAAGAATACCAAACTAGGTTAAACGCTATCCTCAGAACACAGTTAAATGCAAAATACACAGTTAAAGCAATAAACACATATGTCATCCAAGTACTAACATACTCTTATGGAGTTATACATTGCACTCACACAGATCTCTAGCAACTACAAAGAAAAACAAGAACAACACTTACTAAGCATAAACAACATCATCCTAAATCCGCCGTAGAAAGATTAACCCTTCCATATAAAAATGGCTGACGTGGCCTGATTGACATAGTTAACCTTCACGACAAACAAATACAGTCACTGCTAGAGTTTTTCTATAGGAAACAAGAAACATCACAATTACGTAAAGCAGTAACTCTAGCAGACTCAAATAGCACACTCACAATGTACAACACTCACAATGTACAAAACACATGCACTGAAAAAATTAGAAAGTACACAGAACTCGCCCAGAAAATAAGGCATCTGTGGAGGATGGATAGGGTGCTTATTGCACTTGTCGTTCTCTCCTGTACAGGCGTGATACCCCACACACTACACAGAAGCCTGGGAACATTACAATTGAATATAAATACATACATAACACTACAGAAGGCCAGTATATTGAATACATGCCATATTGTTAGGAAATTCCTGAATACAGACACTGACACACACATTTTATCTTAGTTCTGTTTTGGTTGCTATGCCTTGACTCTGGTCTGGCATAGCACACAGCCACCAATGTAAACCGAGTATAACCTACTAAACACGACACAATAATAATAATATCTTTATTGTATTAATTAATTAAGGAGACCTTGTTACAGGAAAGTAGAAAAGAACAGTATTAATAAACTTATTTATATTATTAATTAATACAATCACATATATTTCATGTAGAAAATCTGTAGTGGTAGTAATAAGCAAAGGAAATATAAAAAAAACAGAAATATATAAATTTGAGAAAACTTGTCGTAATAATTAGTTAGATGTGCTTTCAATATTACAATTGGATAATTCTTTGATACTATAAATGAAATATTTATTTATTTTATACATATAATTAATTGTTAACATATGAAATTTGGATCTAAAACTAGATTCTTGATTTTTATAAAATCAGTCCTTGATTTGATATTTTCGGCAAAATACTCTAGCGCAGGACATTTACTGACGATATGGAATAATGAAAAGTTATTTAATTTGCACCAGTAACAGTCCTTTGTAAAGTCATTATAGGTATTGTTGACCATTATAGAACATTTACTGAGATAAATTTGATGGTTGGTTAGTTGATTCGTTAGAGTTTATTGGCGCAAAAGCCACACAGGCCAAGCTGCGCCATGACAAATAATATAAATAACTAAATAAATAAATAAATATATATATATAATGTATAATGTTTAATATAAATAAATAAATAAACTAATAAATAACAAAATGAATAACAAAACAATATATAACAATATACATAATAATAACAAAATATATACTTAAATAAAGAAATAAATAAATAAGTAAATAATTAAATATGTTTATAAATATTATTCACTTTCAAAAAGTTCAATAATTCGTCAAGATTTGGCCTCTGGCCCAAAATCTCTCTCAAACTTGCATTTCCAAAATGCTGTCTATGACTTTGATGAAAAGCTGTGCAGTTGCAAAGCATGTGTTTTACACTTAGAAAGCAGTTGCAATGCTCGCACACTGGCTGGTCTTCACCCTTCAAAAGGTATTGATGAGTCAACCGAGTATGCCCAATTCTCAAACGAGTAAGAATTACTTCAGATCTCCTNAAATCTCTCTCAAACTTGCATTTCCAAAATGCTGTCTACAACTTTGATCAAAAGCAGTGCAGTTGCAAAGCATGTGTTTTACACTTAAAAACCAGTTGCAATACTCACATACTGGCTGGTCTTCACCCTTCAAAAGGTATTGATGAGTCAACCGAGTATGCCCAATTCTCAAACGACTAAGAATTACTTCAGATCTCCTGTCATACTGTTTATTGTGTGTCCAATTTTCTATCATCAGTTTGATATCATGTAGTTTATTGTGGATTGCACGAATCCACATGTTTTGCAATCTCTCTTCTAGTCGTTTTTTAACGACTAGCTTTAAATCACCTCCTTCGATACACATTGTATGCTGTAAACGACTTACTGATTTAGCAACTGCAACTAATTAATTACCTCTTAAACCCATGTAACCTGAGATCCAACGAAACTTTACAGAAAAATTTCTCATAGTGAGATGACAAATTAGTTTCCAAATTTTAATCACTTTGGAATGAGAACTAAATTTATACGAGATCAAAGCCTGAAGTGCACTAGCTGAGTCAGTGTAAATCACGCAGCAATGATGACCTTTCCTATTTATATACTTTAGGGTAAATAAATGACATGCAACTTCGCATTAAAAATTAAAAAATTCAATGAGATTTGCACTGCAACGATTTCATCCTGGCGAACAACGGCTAAGCCAATATAGTTATCTGATTTAAATCCATTGATGTATATATAAATTAAATTCCTATCACAATGTTGAATTTCTGCAAGATGCTGTCAATACACAGTCTAATGTGGTTTCTTTGGAAAACTGCTTTAGGCTCAAGTCAACATCTATCGCTGAAGTTGACCATGGTCAAATACTATAAACCTCAACCTGTGATATGTTGCTTGCGTCCAGGTCAATCAATCATGCTGCTTACATTCTCCATTCTTATGTCGAATGTAAAGACATTACTTGGGCGAGCTTCAAATATTCGTTTAAGATGAGCATCTAATACTGTACAATCAACAGAAGGTTTAGCAAGAGATTTTTGTTTTATATAATAAAAAAAAAAAACAACTTTCTCTCCTAACAGATAGTGGAGGCTCATAAAAATCCACATACAAACTTTAAACAAAGGAAGTTCGAAATGCACCAGTGCACAAACGCAGTGCTTGACAATAGATTGTATCCAGAATCTAAAGAGTAGATTCTCACGCAGAGCCATAAATAATGCATCCGTAATCCAGCTTTGTGCGAACAACGGCCCTATAAATCCTGAGCAAAGAACATTTGTCTGCTCCCCAAGATAAGCAGCACAGTACCTTTCAAAGGTTCAGAGATTTTAAACATCTACACTGCAAATTGTGCAAGTGCAATAAAAACGTCAGTTTAAGGTCAAATAAAACTTCCAAAAACTTCACTTCATTGACCATCATAATTTTATACTCTTCTGACTGAATTTCAGAATCCAGGTGCAAACCACGCCTTCAACAAAAGTGGATGCACGAAATCTTCTCCGTGTTAAAACTAAAACCATTAGTCTTGGTCCAATTGTCGCATATGCAATTTAGGAAGGTTTGCAGTTATCTCTCAATAAAACTCATGTTGCTAGACTGGCAAGAGATCTGAAAGGTTGGTTGGTTGGTTTTGGTTTTTTGGCACAAGAGCCATATAGGCTAAGCTGCGCCATAACAAATGGTAAATAATTATAAACATCACAAATAACAAACATATGACAAAAACAAATAAATAAATAAATAAACAACAGCAACAAAAAAACAAATATATACATATTAATAACAAACAAGAACGAACAAAAAGCTAAAAGATAAATAAATAGATAATTAAATAGGTAAATAAATAAATAAATAATTAAATTTCTTTACACAAATTATTGACTTTTAAAAAGTCTAATATATCATAAAAATTGGGCCTCTGACCCAGAATCTGTTTAAAATTTGCATTTCCAAAATGCTGCCTACGCCTGGTCTCAAAAACAGAGCAATCGAGCAGTATGTGTTTTACAGTAAGAGGACAGTTGCAATACTGGCATACTGGCTGCTCGTCACCCTTCAAAAGGTATTGATGAGTCAACCGAGTATGTCCAATTCTCAAACGAGTAATAATAACTTCAGATCTCCTGTTATAAAATTTCTTGTGTGTCCAATTTTCTATCGTAGGTTTGATCTCATGCAGTTTATTGTGGACTTGTGCGTTCCACATATTTTGCCATCTCTCTGCTAGTCGTTTTTTAATGACTAGCTTGAAATCACCTCCTTCAATACGCATTGTGTGCTGTGGAGGACTAGCTGATTTTGCAGCTGCATCTGCTTCTTCATTTCCTCTTATACCAACATGGCCTGGGACCCAACAAAATTTTATAGAGAAATTCCTTGCAAGAAGATGGCTAAACAATTTACGAATTTTAATCACTATAGAGTGAGAACTAGGTTCACACGAGATCAAAGCCTGAAGTGCACTAACTGAGTCAGTGTAAATAACACAGCGACAATGACCTTTTCTGATTACATAGTTTAAGGCTAAGTGGATAGCATGCAGCTCTGCAGTAAAAATAGATGAATTCGATGAAATTTGCTCTGCCACAATTTCATCCTGGCAGACAAGAGCTGAGCCAACATAATCATCAGATTTAGAACCGTCAGTGTAAATAAGAATTAAATACCTATCATTGTGTTGGATTTCTGCAAAGTGCTGTTTATAGACATAGTCTGGAGTTGATTCCTTAGGAAACTGCTTTAAGCTAAAGTCAACATTTATCACAGGAGTAGACCAGGGTGGCGTACTATCAATCTCGGCCTGTGAAACTGAAAGTCATCCACATACAAAGTGTTTCACACTAGGGGGAAGACAGTTTGCTATGCTGTTAATTTTGATTAGGAACAATGTCAAACTCAAAATACAACCTTGAAAAATACCTTCTTGTGTGAAAAGCCTAGATACTGTGTTGCCCATCCTGACTTGAAATCTTCGATTCTGTAAAGTTTTTTATAAAAATTGGCAAATTACCCCGCAACCTGAATTCGTGCAAATCACAGAGTATCCCATATCGCCAACAGCGATCATAAGCCTTCTCTATATCTAAAAACACAGACACTAAGTGCTGTCGTCTAACAAACGCTTCGCGTATAGATGTTTCAAGGTTTACTAAGTTATCAGTGGTACTTCTGTTCCTATGAAAACCACCCTGATGTGGTGAAATGTAGTTCTTTTCCTCTGACAGTTACATCCTCCGTCCGTTTACCATCCTCTCAAAGAGTTTACACAGGCAACTAGTCAGAGAGATTGGTCTGTAATTAAAAAAATTCTTGTGGTCTTTACCTGGTTTAAGAATGGGAGTAATGATAGATAGACTCCAAGAGTCTAGAAAAGCATGTTCTGTCCATATTCTGTTAAATATACACAGAAGATTAGAAAGAGAATTGTTTAAAAGATTTCTAATCATGCTTTTGTGGATTTTATCTGGGCCTACAACACTATTCCTCGAGTAATGGATCGCTGTATGTAATTCAATTCTAGTGAATGTCACATTATATTCCTCATTAGATGAATAATAAAAATTTAAATTTTGTTTTTCTCTTTGGGCTTTATAAGCTTGTAAATTCTTTGCATACATAATATTGCTGGATGAAGCAGAAAATGTTTCACCCAACGTATCAGCTATAACCTGTACATCGCTAATTATTGTGCCATTATTTTCCAGCATTGACAGAGACTGAGAAGCATGTTTCCCATTAATTTTATTGATTTTATCCCAGACTGCTTTTGAGCTAGTGGAAGATGTTATGCTAGAAACATACTTCCTCCAAGAATCCCTTTGGCTTTGCCTTCTTATTCTTCTGGCATTTGCCTTTGCTTTTTGAAAAGCTATCAAATAGTTAGTAGTGGGGTACTTTCTGAAAAGTCCCCATGCTTTCTTTTGTGCTTTAAATGCTGCCTTGCAATTCTGGTCCCATCATGGTTTCGGATGCTTTGAATATCTAGTTGATGTTTTTCCCATTGTTTTTTCAGCTGCCTGAATAATACTAGAAGTGACAACTTCAACTGCCTCATTATTATCAAGCAGTATTGACCATTTCCTCAGTGATATCAGCCAAAGAGGAAAATGCAGGCCAATCTGCCGTTTCAAGTTTCCAGCGTAGTGGACGGGCTGTTTCACTGCTTTCTCTGCCTTGATATTTTAGAAATATTAAGAAGTGGTTGCTAGAAAGGGGATTAGATCCTACCTCCCATGTAAATGCTGAAAACAGGTTTGGACTTGCTAAAGATAGATCAATGGCAGTGAATGTTCTTATTAGGGCATTGAAGTATGTCACTTCTCCAGTATTAAATAAATATAGTTGGTAGTTATTTTCTTAATTCTCACACCATTAGTGTTAGTATGATAGATGATTGTTTAAATATAATTGGTGATTGCCTATGAATCTTTCAATGGCTCTGCCTTGACGGTTAATGTCAGGACTGCCCCACATAGGATTGTAACCATTAAAATCACCAAGTAACAGGAACAGAGTCGGCAGCTGTTCAACCAACGTATCCAATTCATCCTCATTGACTCTGACAACTGGTGGCAAGTATATAAAACAAACTGTGACAGTTACTCCAATAGAAATTCTGACTGCCACAGCTTGCAAAGTAGTGGTTATTTTTACCAGTAAGGATGGAATGTGATTTGAAACCAGAATAGCCACACCGCCACTGGCATGGTTGTGGCTATCATCATCCTTGCAATAGAGATAGAATCCTTTTAAATAGATTTTTTTCTCCAGGTTTTAGATGTGTTTCCTGGAGTGCCACACAGAGCGACGAGGTAGATGATGTTAAGTGTTTAATGTCAGAGACATTCTTGCAGAAACCATGACAGTTCCATTGGATTATTTTATAATCCATTAGGTGTTTGAGACAGCATTTGTAGCAAGGTTATCCCTCTTTAATTTCACAGGGGGTTTTTCTTTTGGAGGTGACGTTGGTGGTGTCACCCCCTTATTATTCTCATTATCAGAGAAGTCAGAGAACTCACTCATAGACTGGGTCTCCGATTTCTTTGATTTAGAGAGGGCTGCTTTTATTCTTTGTTTATTAAGTGGGTTCTTACTGGCTTTTTTGGAACCCACATTCCTAGTTGTTACCCCTGTTTTAAGTATGAGTAGTTTTGCTTTGTTATTCTCTTTTTCTGTTGCTTTGGTAGCTGATATCAGCAGACATTTTTCATTACGAGTAAGAGATTCATTTGGTCAGGGGTGCACAACCTGCGGCCCGCGAACCACATACGGCCCCCTATCAATGTTTATGCGGCCCGCAAACGGTACAGGCCAAATCCCTTCTTTCGAAGTTTCTAAGTTTAAAACTTTTCCCTTTCACAAAGTCATTAGCACCCAACTGTTTTATGACTTTCCCTGAGGTGAGAAATGGGGGATTGTTCTATAAATAAGTCTATTTCTATCTAACACTTTCTGGTTTAGATATCAAATATTTTAAAATGATGTTAGAACGTCATTTCCGGTGTTATCGGGAAGTTTCTATTTTGGCGGAAAATCTTCAATTTTATGCTTCGGAAAACTTGCCTATTCGTCTAAATAGCATTAAATAACAAAAATAAGTAAAAATAGCGCTAAAAAACCATGAAAATAACGATTTTTTAGCATTTGTTTACATTCTAGATTCTGATTGGTATAGTCGAATTTGAATCAATCTTTTCTGAAAAGACGCTTATTCGTCAAACTAATGTTATTCAAACTAGAAAAAACTAACCAGAGTTCAAAAAGGAATGTACAAAAAGCTATAAAACCAATAATTTACAACAATATCTCTCCATAGACAAAGAATAGAAAA